CGCCCCCACTGGGGATCAAACCTGCAACCTAGGTATGTGTCCTGGCCAGGAATTGAACCCACAACTCTTTGGTGTATGGGACAATGCTCCAACCAACTGAGCAACACTGGCCAGGGCCAGAAGCAACTTTTTAGACAGTTGCATTGTCTAGAGCAGCGGTTCTCAACCTGTGGGTCGCGACCCCTCTGGGGGTCGAACGACCCCTTCACAGGGGTCACCTAAGACCATCGGAAAACACATCCTGGCCAGGAATTGAACCCACAACTCTTTGGTGTATGGGACAATGCTCCAACCAACTGAGCAACACTGGCCAGGGCCAGAAGCAACTTTTTAGACAGTTGCATTGTCTAGAGCAGCGGTTCTCAACCTGTGGGTCGCGACCCCTCTGGGGGTCGAACGACCCCTTCACAGGGGTCACCTAAGACCATCGGAAAACACATATATAATTACATACTGTTTTTGTGGTTAATCACTATGCTTTAATTATGTTTAATTTGTAACAATGAAATTGGGGGTCACCACAACATGAGGAATTGTATTAAAGGATTGTGGTATTAGGAAGGTTGAGAACCACTGGTCTAGAGTAAAGACAGTTTGGGAAATAGAACTGGCTTTGAATTCTAACTGAACTTTTGTCTGTGGCCCTTGGGGACATGACCTAGCCTTTCTTAGACTTTGTGTCCTTATTTATCCAATAGGTATACTAGTAAAAACAATGTCTGACTAAGTTGTGAGGATTTAAAATAGCATACACATCAATCATGATCATTCGGGGGCAGAGCAGGCATTCAGCAAATGGCAACAATTGTCAGGGTTAGCAGGTCTCTTCCACTCAGCTCTGCCCACCGGGCTCAGCACAGGCTTGGCCCACAACAGGTGTTTATTATGCTAAACTGAATCAAAGGGACAAGACATTTGCTGGTTTCCTCACTGCTTCCATATGGAAATTCAAATTTATCTCACATTCCCATAGCCTCACAATAAATCTGTTCAGAGAAAAAATATGTATGCCTTTTCACAGACACCCAGCAAATGGTGCTCGTAGCACCAGCCTCTTCAGTCTACCATAGCCCTCTCTGGGCTTGGTTGGTGAGGCTGGTTTTCTCAGCTAGGAATGGTGAGCTGGAGGGAGGGCTCCAGAGCCTTTGGGTGCCCCGTTCAGACCTCCCTTCCAGGACCCATTGCTATGAATAGGATGTAGATCATATGCATTTGGGAAACGCCTCCTACACTGGCATGTTATTGAAGCCCTAGAGCAGGGGTGGGGAACCTTTTTTCTGCCAAGGGCCATTTGGATATTTATAACATCATTCTCAGGCCATACAAAATTATCAGCTTAAAAATTAGCCTGCTATATTTGGTCAAACATTTAATTAACTCACCCCTAATGCCTTGGCAGGGACAGACCAAATGATTTCGCAGGCCTTATATGGCTGGATGTTCCCCACCCCTGCCCTAGAGGATGGTAACCAGCTAACAACCACTGCAAGGATGAAAAATAGCTACTGAAAATCTATTTAATCCTCCCAGCAACCCTGCAAGGTAGGTCTCATCCCATTTTACAGAAAGAAACCAAAGCTCAGAGAGATCAGGAATCCATCTACCTCCCCTACCTTCCAAGTAACAGACTGCACTCCTTGCCCCCATGTGCTGTCTCCCCTCACCACATGGCATTCTGTACCCCAAAGGCAAGGCTGTGGCCCTAATACTCAGACACTCAGCTCTGTTCACATGTCCTCAAGGCTCTTTCCTTCTTGAAGAGCTGCTTGTAAACCACTGACAGCGAGTCTGTGCTTTCTTGAGAATAAAGAACACTTCATCTTTACCTCAATGCTGTTGATGAGCTCTAAATATCGGAGGTCTCGTACTCTGATGAAGGCCTACAGAGGAAGAAATAAAATAATAAAATCAGCTGCCTTCTGGGCTTCAAAAGTGGGTGATTGGCTGGGGGTGGGAAGTCAAGCTTTAGAAAGTGAGCCAGTTAGGAGGGAAAAGAAGCAAGCATTGATTAATCACTGTGTGTTCAGGAGGGTTCTACCACCCACTGAGGCTCAGCTTTATCCCTGGGATTAGTCCATACAAAGAAGCCCTGGTTGAATCAATCACTTTGGGATTAGGTGAAACAGAACTATAATACTGCAGTCTGAGATGGTGCCTGCTTAGAGGAACCTCTATGCAAAATGGAAGAACAAGCCAGTCTGACACTCTGAGGCAGTGGCATCTGCGTGGGAGTGGGAAAGACGTACTGACTCAGGAGAGACTGCACGTACATCTTGGTGACTTGGACAGAAAACAGGAGACAGCTATGCTTACCAACAGTGCATAAACACAGGGCACCCAGAGCCTACAGTACCATCATGAAGGAAGAAAAGGAAGAGAAATTTGAGAAGGAATAAAGATGATTTCTAGAAGGAAGGGGGAGGTAGGGAATGAATCACTCCAAGTCCCTGGAAGGCAAACTCTTGCGTAAATCCTAAACGTGTAGATCTTGCCTTGGACTCACAGTAAAGCCAGAGACTTTAACCCATGGGAAGTTTCCAGACATCCATCTTCATGCAGACTGATGTTAACTAAGCCTCTTTAGTTGCTTTCAGATTCTGCAAGGGGTTTAGAGGAGCATAACCCACCATGTCAGGCTGATCTTCATGTGGCTTTGCTGTCAACATTTGTACTCAGCTGTGCTTCTTTACATTGTCCCATTTGAAATGGGCTGACACACACCTAGAAGAGGCAGCAGGTCCAGGATGCCTTAGAATATGAATGCAGAACAATAACCCTGGCTACTTGTAGCCTCTACTTAGCTGTATGACATCCTCCATCTTAAAAAGACTTGTGGAAATGAGCAAGTCACCCAGCCTCTGGCTGCCCACAGATGACCACAATGTAATGTCATCTTTTTAAAAAAATATATTTTATTGGTTATTTACAGAGAAGGAAGGGAGAGAGATAGAGAGCCAGAAACATCGATGAGAGAGAAACATCGATCAGCTGCCTCCTGCACACTTCCTACTGGGGATGTGCCCGCAACCAAGGTACATGCCCTTGACCGGAATCGAACCTGGGACCTTTGAGTCCGCAGGCTGACGCTCTATCCACTGAACCAAACCGGTTAGGGCTGTAATGTCATCTTTTCCGCTCACAGGGCCAAGCATCCTGTTGGGTTGGGGACCAAGAGGTGAATATAATTTGGCTCCTGTCCCCCTCCCCAATTCAGGGGTTCATATTCTAAAAGGGGAGGCAGGCAGATTAAATAGATCAATAAATCTCCCTGAGCTAAGAGCTATACAAGCATGAACTAGATGCCTTGGAGAACACAGATTCACTGCCTGAGCACAGGCAATAGCAGGAGGCAGGATTAAGTAAAGCATCACAGTAGACCCTGGCAAATGGGTATTCCTGAAGAGGAATTCCTTGAAAGGGTAAGGCAGTTATCACATGAGCAAAGGGATGGAGAGCTAAGAGCACGTGTATTCTTCACTGGAGGTCTTATAAGCCATCTTTGAGGTCTGGGCTTCCTTAAAGCAACACAAAGGGAAACCTGGAATGCCTGACAAAGTAGCAGGGAGGTAAGGAGGAGCTTTCTAGGTCTCAGTTCTAGCTTGCTTTCTAGTTGGGGGGCCCTGGATCTACTTCCCCACCACTGAGAGAAATCTGTTTCTGAGTTCCTTCAGCCCTGACATTCTGCAGTGTCAGGGGTGCCCTGGTCAGAGTGGTCAGAATCACAAGGCCTGTGAATAACCTCAGGGGAGGGAAATGTGGGAACAGAGAAGCTTTGCAGTTCTACTCAGGGCAGTGGTCCTGGGTGCTAAACAGCTCTCCTCTGCCATCTAGTGGGGACAGCAGTCTATCACCGGGAACCATTCACCTCCAAGGGTGCCTGACTTGGCAAAGCAGAAAAGAAAGGCTGGGGATTAGGAATTTGGGTAAAGTGATCAAGTTATAGTCTATGGTCAAAATCTTGTGGCTTTAATACAATAATTCCTATTCTCAGGAGTGTTGTGGGGGGTGATACAGATTGGGAGCGGGTATTAAGCAAATGGGAGTTCATTCCAGTTTAATTTTCATCCATTTAAACATTTGCTGAGCACTTAACACAGTATTAGGCACTGCCGTCTAATTTCATTCCATGATGAAAATAAATAAAACATATTCTAGGAATCCTTTGTTATTCTTCATCCCTCCTGACATTTCAAGGTGAGGCAGGAGAGGGAAGCTCCCTCCATGGAAATGTTTCCTCCCTCTGACTTCTTAAAGCCCTCCGCTACTACCACTTTTCTGACACAGTAGATCCAAAACTATAATATATATGATTATTATATAATTACTAGAGGCCCAGTGCACGAATTCATGCACAGGTGGGATCCCTCAGGGCGGCCTGCAGGGATTGGGCCGAAACCTGCAGTCCAACGCTGCCTGCAGCTCCTACCTGCAGCTCCCGCTCATGCCTGCCCCACTGCGTCTGTCAAGGGCTCACACCCAATCAGTCCTGATCAGGGGAGGTTCACACCGCAGCAGCAGCGGCAGCGCTCACCAGTCGTGAGCCCTGTGTCTGGCGCTCTCCTGAGGGGAGTAGCCTGCAGGATTGGGCTGAAACAGGCTCTCTGACATCCCCTGAGGGGTCCTGGATTACAAGAGAGCCCAGGCCAGGCCAAGGGACCCTACTGGTGCACGATCGGGGCGGGGAGGGACGGCAAGAGGGATCCAGGGTGTGTTGGCCCCCATCTCGCCCAGTCCCCATTGGCTGGACCCCAGCAGCAAGCTAACCTACCGGTTGGAGCGTCTGCCCCCTGGTGTTCAGTGCACATCATAGCAAGCAGTTGAGCGGCCTTAGCATATCATTAGCATATTACACTTTGATTGGTTGAACAGTCGACTGGTCCCTGGACAACTGGGCACTTAGCATATTAGGCTTTTATTATATAGGATAATTGTACTTGCTTTAATAACAGCTAGCATTTGTACAACCATTGCTAGTTTTAGAATCCCTTTTACAATGTGACAGTTAAGCCTGGTGACACTGTGTCAGGCAGGGTTGGCAGTTAGTGTCTTCACCCTCCCCACTGTAGAAAAGACGGAGGCTCCGAGAGAAGTGGCTTGCCAAGGGTCTTCCAGCCTGTACATGGCTGAGCTGGTTCTCAACCAGGCTTCTGAACCCTAGTCTGGTCTCGGTCCACTCTCTTTTCATGCTTAGAAGTCTTGACCTAGCATGGAGATGGCATCACATACTTCTGCAATTTCTTCCCTATCAGCTCAGTAGTATACGCAAAATGATTAATTGGTATGGGAAAAGAGAGACAGAAGGGAGACATCGGGGAGAGAGTTGAAGGCCATTCCTTGCCCCCACACCTCAGGAGACATAGCTGGGTTCTTCCTAATAATATGTGTCAAATGTTTTGAGCCATTTCTGTAATTTTAATAGACTGAGCCAGGAAATGACACCATGAATCAAGGTCATGAATTATGCCATGAAGGTATGTGGGGAGTGACATTGCTGTCAGAATCAGAGAGCTCGACCATCTTGTCTACCATACTTAGCAATGTGCCAAGAAAAACAGCACTGTGTAATAAATTACCTAATACCAATAAGTGCTTATTCCAATAACAAAAACTACCATTTATGGAATGCCTAGTATGTGCCAGGCTTTTAGCTAGGTGCTTTACATAAATGATAGCTAATAAGAGTAACAACTAGAATCTATCAGATGCTTCTCCTATGTCAAGCTTTGTAGGCATTATCACATTAGATCCTTATAACTTTTGAAGATGGGGCCTATCATCACCCTAATTTTACCAATGAGCAACCTTAGGAAGGATGTTACCTGCTCAGGCTTATAGTTAGAAGGTGGCTGAGCCAGGTCAGTCTAATTCCAGCACCCACGGCAGTATGCATTTGCCTCTCCATATGTCACCTGGAATGGATCCTCTTCTGCCTCCTCAAAGGACCCTCCAAGGACCAGATTCTTGCTCATTCTGACTAGATGCTTACCTTCTTTGCTGTTTCAAACTCTAATCCTTCTAAAGCTTCCATGGCCAGCTCATGCCAATCAGTGTCTGTCACACCCAAGCAAGCAATCTGGTAGGCTTCTTTGAACATTTTCCTCTCCAGGTACTGGTACATGGGAGCAGACTGCAGGATTGAAGGAAAGAAGAGTATTTTCAAAGCAATGGAAAGAGTCAGATTCATACAAAGCCTGACTCCATATGTGTGCATTGACTTCATTACAAAAGCCTGCAGAGCAATGCTGCAATGGTTAACCAGTACCCTTCTCAGCCACACCCCAGTTCACCCTACATGCCTTCCACTCTGCCACCCCCTTTCTTTTTTTTTTTTAATATATTTTATTGATTTTTTACAGAGAGGAAGGGAGAGGGATAGAGAGTTAGAAACATCAATGGGAGAGAAACATCGATCAGCTGCCTCTTGCACACTCCCTACTGGGGATGTGCCCGCAACCAAGGTACATGCCCTTGACCGGAATCAAACCTGGGACCTTTCAGTCCACAGGCCGACGCTCTATCCACTGAGCCAAACCAGCTAGGGCTGCCACCCCCTTTCATAGCCAAACCATCATGTTCAGCAGCACAAACCTCCTGCCCATCCTCCCCTCCACCACCGGCTTTCCCCACCTCCAGGCCTGCCTCTCCACAGATTTCACCATCATCTGGAATGACTTTGCCCCTCTTCACCCTCTGGAAAGTATCTATTTGGCTTTCGAGACCCTGTTAAAATGTCATTTCTTCTGGAAAGTCTTCACTGACCCTTCAAGTAATATCGTGAATGGTTCCTAATAACTTCTATTTGTAGGCTTTTGGATCTGTCCCAACAGTCCTGTGTCATAGGTATTATCACTCCTGGATTATGGCCCGAGACTGAAACTCAGGGAGGGCAACTGACTTGTCTAAGGGCACATAGTGGCACATAGAAGATCTTGGGGCTGGAGCCTGGATGACCTCTTGGGTATGTGTGTGTATGTGTCTGTATACCTGAGAACAAGTCTGAGTTGGGCCTGAGTGTCTTTCATAACTAAAGGCCCTCCCTTGTTTTAGGCCAGTCAGTGTGCCGAAGGGAACTGCGTCTTTCCTTCTGGATTCCTAGGCAGTGGAAATCAATCAGTCAGTACCTCTGTGCTAATGGTTCCCAAATGTGGAGCTGAAAGTGCTGTTTTCTACATTTGGGGCCTTAATCTTTGAAATTTCCTGTCCCATTTTTTAGCTTTAGCGTTGAAGGAAATTGTTTTCTTTTTAAGCCATTCCATCCTCTGACAGCAAGATGTGCCTGCTGCTGAGCACTCATCTTTCCTACTGTGCCTCCCTTCAGGTGGCAGTAGGGTATGGACACAGGAACAGTTGAGCTAGAACCCAGGCCTAGCTCAGTCACATCCTAGACCAGGGGTGGGCAAACTTTTTGACTCGAGGGCCACAATGGGTTCTTAAACTGGACCGGAGGGCCGGAACAAAAGCATGGATGGAGTGTTTGTGTGAACTAATATAAATTCAAAGTAAACATCATTACATAAAAGGGTACGGTCTTTTTTTTTTTTAGTTTTATTCATTTCAAACGGGCCGGATCTGGCCCGCGGGCCGTAGTTTGCCCACGGCTGTCCTAGACGTATGAATTTTTGGGTCAATTAACTTCTGTTTAGCTCACAGGCTACCATGGGCAAACAAGAGAAGTGCTTTGAAAATTGATAAAGTGCTGGGCAAAAAATGAGCATGCTCATTGCATCCATAGTATTTTTTCAGCATCATCTCCTCCCCATCTCACAAACTCTCCAAACTTGTTTCCACCCGCTATGTTCCCTGTTTGAAACACCCTCGCTGTTCCTCTGCCTTTCCAGACCTTTCAGGGCAGATCAAGTGTCACCACCACCTGGAAGCTTTCTCAAACGCCCTGTGCACAATGAGCTTTCCTTTCTAAACTCCTTCAGTGAGCGCCTCCTGTTCCAATTTAGTTCTGTTTTGTAGTGTTTAATATTTTAAGATTGTTGTTAATAATAATAATAATAATAGGATTTGGACCAGACAAAACCTGAAAGAGGGGTATATTTAACCTCATTGCACAGAAAATAAGTGAGACCCCAAAAAGCGAACGGAGTTGCTCAAGGTCACAGCCAGTGTCAGAAAGCCAGTACTCCTTTCCCTAAACTCCTTTCCCTTTCACCAAGCTGAGAGCCCAAGGAGGGTTAGGCTTGCCTGGGAGGCACAATCTGAGAGTGGGAGTTTTAAATACCCTAACTGCACAAATGCCCTCTCAGCTCTACTTTATCTTGCTATCGAATTCCAAGCATGAAGTCACCACCCGCCCTGAGAAGCCCGACTAGGGCCTGCCGCCCTACTTGGCAGCCCTAACAAACCATTTCTTGCACAAGATGATGTAAATTTCAAAAGGAAACCAGAAATCCCCAGAGTGGGTCTGAAGCTTTCTCCCTCCCCCCCAGGCCAAAACCACAGGATGGTTGGAGGCAGAAACGACAGATAAATAGCCTTTGTTTTGAGGCTGCCTTTCCTAACCCTTGGCAGTTCTGACCTGCTGCATCAGCAGGATGGCCTCGGTGCAGCCACTGGGGGAGGGGGAATCTGGCTTCTGAATCTTTAGAGCTTGGCAGAGGAAGTCCCGGGCTGCCCCTTCAGTTCCTCTTGTCCCGCCAAAGTCAGGGAGCAGCAAACTGCATTTATCTTGAGGTCAGCATGGCAGTCTTGGTAGAAAAAACTTTCAATCAGCATAGCATGTTTGAGGAAGATTGGGTTTCTGATGGATGTGGTGCATGAGTTTGGGATGGGGAGCAGATGAGGACTGCAAGGAAACAGTCCACAGGGGCTGTTCTTACCTCTCTTTCTGCTGCCACTTCTACCCACTTCTCTCCCTTCTTTCTCTGGCTTTCTTTCTTTCTTTTTCCTTTTCCTCAAGTCTGAATTCCACTAATATTTATTGAATAACTGCTCTGTGTTAGGTACTAATAATCTCTGCATCAATGAGTAACATCATCAGCTATGGGGAAGAAATGAAGTCTAGTTCCACCCTTTACAACAGTGGTTCTCAACCTGTGGGTCGCGACCCCTTTGGGGGTTGAACGATCCTTTCACAGGGGTCGGCTAAGACAAGCGGGAAACACATATATAATTACATATTGTTTTTGTGATTAATCACTATGCTTTAATTATGTTTAATTTGTAACGATGAAATTGGGGGTCACCACAACATGAGGAACTGTATTAAAGGGTCGTGGCATTAGGAAGGTTGAGAACCACTGCTTTACAAGAAGCCAAGCCAGGGCAAGGTGTGTGGAGGGAATATAGATTAATGTAGCCTAGCTGAAAGGCAATCTGGAAACATGTCTAAAATCTTTCAAACGTAGCATAAATAGCCCTTGGCCCAGCAATTTCACTTCTAGGAATTTATACCAAGGAGCTAAGATGGGATAGGTGCAAAGACTTAGCTATTTATAAGAGCAAAAAGCTGCAAACAGCACAAATTGCTAACTGGGTTCAGTAAGTTGTGAGAGATCGGGACAAAAAAAATAGTCACTAAAACAATATGGGGTGGAGGTGAGGCAGCAGGGAGGAAGGTGTGGCCATAGTAAAAGGTAAACCCAACACCAGGGATCTCATGCGCTTTGGTGTGAATACACCAACCTATTCAGGTGATAAATTTGTACTGCAGCATTGCAAAACTGTTACCAGTAGGGGAAGCTGGGCAAATTGTACAAAGTATCTCTGTATGATATCTTACAATTAAATGTGAATCTACAATCATTTTAGCTAAAGAAGAACATTTATTGACATGGAGCCATGTTTCTAATAGATTGTAGGGTGAAAAAGCCAGATCGCTAGTTGATAGCCAACAATTCATACAAAGTGATGGGTCTGCAATATGTAAATGTTAGGTTAAATCAGAAGATGGAGATAAAGGAAGGTAATTAAGTCTCTCTTATTTATAGTCCACATTCAGTAAAATAAGTGCAGTAAATCTGAGGTTTCATCTATAGGAGCAATATTTATAGATAATAAAAGTCAAAACAACATTATTTACAGTACAATTCCTCTTTTAAAATTTTATATACAACTAGAGGCCCGGTGCACAAAATTCATGCACTGGTAGGGTCCCTCGGCCTGGCTGGCGATCAGGGCCAATCTGTGGGGCAACCGGTGGGGCAATCGGGGGACCCCCATTGGCACCCACCTTGGCTGGCCTGGCACCACCCGCTTGCCGGCCCTGCCTCCTGCCACCGCCGCCAGTCACCTCCCTCTGTGAGGCAATTGGGGGACCCCCAATGGCACCTGCCTTGGCTGGCCTGGCACCACCACTCGCCAGCCCCACCCCCCACCACCACCGCTGGTCGCCTCCCTCTGCAGGGTGACCATAAGGGTGATCGGGGGGCCCCAGCTGGCACCCACCTTGGCTGGCCTGGGGCCTGTGTGCTGGGGGCAGCTCCTGCATTGAGCATCTGCACCCTGGTGGTTCTGCTGTTCGGTCAATTTGCATATTAGGCTTTTATTATATAGGATCATATACTCCTAATTATATATTATGCACACATTACACATACATATAAAAAAGGTCTGGGTTGATATTTTCCAAAATGTTTAAGAGTGAGTTTCTCCTTAGGATGGGATTCTGAGGGCTAGTCTCTCCTTGGTGCTTATCTTTATTTTATGACAGTTCTACAGGCAGGCTCACATTCCTGCCTCCCATTTCTATTCTGGCCTCCTGCTAGTGTGAGGGACTTGTGCAGATAGTACCATGCTCCCTTTTTGGCTCACAGACCTCAGCTCCACACCCCATTCCACCTATATTATCTTTCTCTCACACACACTACCCCCTTCATATGCCTGTGCATACACCCTGCTGGACTCCCAGCTTTGTTGGCTTACTCTACTCTGCCCCAAGCACAGCTCTCAGTGAAACACAACTCTGTCTGCTGATAGACAACCCTGCGTACCCCTCCCTGTCCCTACTAGGAAGTGGGGATCAGAAAGAATTAAGGTTCAGTGATGCTGGGTTTTTTGACCAAAGACACACAGATTGCATGGGATGGAGATAGGATTTCACGTTCAAATCCAGAGTGCCTTCCATGACACCACAGCTATCATTCTTGTCTCTCTTCCCTCTCTCCTCACCACTCCCTCCCAATGCACCATTGAGGAGCCTGGCTTTCCTGGTCTTGCCTGTCCTGCCACTACTGAGAGCTGACAGACATCCTGGGTTACCTGTGGCACCTCCACAGCTGATATGGAGAAGGCATGCAGGCAGAAGATCTTGGAGCCGTTGTAGCCTACCACAAAGCCCTGCAGCTTCTGCTGGTGCACAGGGAAGGTGCTAGCTTTGATGTTGAGGTAGCCTCCTCCCGAGAAGCAGAGCATGTCCTCACACTGGGTGTTCCAGGCCACACTGTTGGCATTCGGTTCCTGAGGGACAGGGATGGTGAGAACCCTGTAACTATCATCCTGGGCTTTGGCACAATTCCTACATTCAGTCAAGTTCTCTTGTTAAAACCTGAATCACATTAAATTGCTAACAGTAGGATAGAGGGAAAGGGAAGAAAAGGGGATTGGAAGAAATGGATAGGGGGATAGAGGCAAGCACTTCCATGCACTTTTGTATGTTGGAATTTTTGAACAAGCAAGCATTACTTTTGAATAAAAATTATTATCCCCAAATATTAATCATTACATAAAGTGAGAAAATCAGCAAAGTGGATTCTACTTCTGTATGGAAGAATGTTTAAAGGAATATATTCCAAAGAATTAACAGTAGTTGTCTTTCCGCGGGTGCTTTATATTTTCTGTTTTTTATTTGCCTGAAATTTTCTTTTGGTTATGAATATTTATTTTTCATAATAAGAAAAGGAACAGTGAACTATTTTAAAATTAAAAAATAATATATTGTCTCTACATTTATAATCTGCACACTGTAAGAATACAATCACCCTGGGAGGTACTCCCTTGCCTCACCTCCTCTCAAAGATTTCTGCTCAGCTCCAGAGACTTAGGCACCAGCAGAAGTTCATATCTTTCTGCCTAGAATCTTTTACAATGTCTGAATCTTTTATAATGAGCATAGATTATTTTTATAATGAGAAAGAAAACATATAGCTGTTTGCATTTGCAGGGGTAGGGGCAGTGGAGAGAAGAAAAAATAGCTGGGAATGTTTATGACCCCTAGCAAGAGCTGAAAATTACCTTTCCCGGCCCACTACAGAAAACCCTCAGTGGGGACAGGGAATAACACACGCCTTTCCACTCCTATATGGTTCTGGGCTGGACACGGATTCACACCTGGGAGCTGCTAACCTACCTACAGGGGCTTGTGTTGCGGCTGGGGAGATGAGAAGTAACACTGAAGGCCCTATCTTGTGGCAGGCACTATGGTGTCTTACTTAGTCCTGTAGTTCTATGAGGGGGAAATTATTAGTTCTATTTTAGAGGTAAGGAGAAATAAGACTCAGAGAGGTTCACTAACTTGCTTGAGAGATGAAGGCAGAGCTGGAGCCCAGATTTGTCTGAAGGCAAAGCTTATGCTCTTTCTTTCCCCTAAACCACTCTGCCTCCCCAGTTAAGAGTGAAATGTTATCAACTGGGAGTCACTGGGGCTAGTGGTGGCCAGGTACCTCCTTTCAAATGACTGAGGTAGCTCCCTACGACAGCACCTTCCACCCTGCTGATTCTATCGCTGAGGACAAGGAGGAGACCTCAATCTGCCCATTATACTGGGAAACCTTTAGTGGTTGAGAAAGCCAATCAGGGGAGGTTTTAGCTTTGGGGGAACTCACTTCAGGCAAATAGGCCCTGACCACTCACAGAGCCCTAAAGAGGCAAAGAGCAGCACTAAGTCCAGTAGAAAGCCAACCAGGCACTGGGCATAGAGCCTTTGGGCTCTCTTCTCCAATGACACACTTCCTCCAGCCCCAGGATCAAATGATGTGTAAGCAATGCCTATCCGCAAAACAGTTCACATTTGCTGGCTGTTATAGCATCCTTGTGAAATAGCAGGGAGGACTTCCCCCATGTCTCCCTTCCTTCAGATGGCAAAACTGGTCCTGTTTCTTTACTGTGTCTTAGATTATTCAAAGATGCAGGCAGCCTCCAGGAGGTGAGCAGCAGACTTTTTCAAAAGAATCATCACATTAACCCATACACTGATAGCCTGCAACATGCCACACTTAGATTTATTAGTATTAATTTACTGCTCTCAGTAATCTTGTAAGAAAATGTTACTTGCCTATCTTACTTGCAACAAAACCAAAGTTCAAAGAGACTCACTCAGCTCCTGCAGCTTATGTGTGGGAGGGGTTGGCTGTGTCTGGGGCCTCTTAGACTCTGCACCCCTGCTTAGACCCTACACCCTTACACCTCACTGCTCCTTCCAGAGGCCCACCTGGAAGCCAGAGCATAAGCACCTCCTATAAGGACTGGGAAGCTAGAGGAGTGTCTCTAATCAAAGGATCATGTCCTGGACACTCCCTGGGACTTCACCTGAAAAAGCAACTCCTTGGTGTGAATGTCATAGACCAAGCATGTATCGTTTTCATCCACCACGGCCAGCTTTTTTCGGGAGGCGCTCATGTCTAAGCAGCGCACGGCTGTGGCCTGTTTCAGTAGGACAATGGCAAAGAGATTGTCCACGAAGATCTTCAGGATCTGGCAAAATTTCAGAGAAAAAGTGTGAGTCACCATGGCAACAAGACCCTGTAATACTGCCAGGCTTTTGGAACCCATGTGTTCTAAAAAAACAACTCCCACTAACTTCACTAGAGGCTCAGTGTAGAGAAAAGGACTCATCAAAAGAAAGGGACCAGGGCTTATCCTTAGGAGAACAGAGTGTAGTTCATCTGAGGTCACCAAAGTAATGACATGTTGGCCCCAAGACATGACAAACTTACTTGAAAGTCTGCTTGACTGGGGATTTGTTAATGACATTACCCAACTGCAGGGTTAGGAAACACAATTCAGCAGAGGTCTGAGTAACTAACACAGGAAGAGGCTACTGTAAACACTGACAAGACATCTGGTATAACCACTGCAAAATGATGATGATGATGATGATGATGATGATGATGATGATGATGATGAAAGCAATCAGTCATTGACTATTTTTGATAGTTGGGTAAAATATTATCCTCATTTGTAAAACCTGAGCCTCAGAGAGGTGAAGTGACCTGCGTAGGGTCACACCGCTATGAGTAGCTAAACATAAACATGACCCCAGGTCAACCTGCCTCCAAAGTCCATACTTTCAGGCCTCACACTGGAAGTGACATTGTGACAAAAAACACGTTCCTGCCCTTTGGTATTGCTATTCTATACTCCTGCTAACTCATACTCCATGAGTCCCATCCTCAGGAAAGGCCTGACAAACCTTTACCACAAGCCATCTGCTAGACAGCTTGGCTCTCAGGCTAATGCAGTTACATTTTTACTTTCAAATTTCCATGAAGCCCACTTAGAACTTTTCTTATTTTGAGCAAAGAACACACACAGAAAACTGTTTAACTTTGTATAACCTAGATTTTCCACATGTATTTGAGCAAAGGGCCCACTTTTCTTATAATATCTAGTAATAGCCTACAGACCAGCACCTTCTAGGACACAAGCTAGAACACACTGCCTTAATCCATTCACTGCTCTAATAGGGATCCAACCTAAGGAATGATCTCTGCCTCCCTCTCTAGCAAGCCACAGAAACTGCACCTCTAACAAATCTCCCACCATCTGGGTGACTTTCAAGCCCACTAATCTACTCAACTCTTGGCCCAGCGGTGCAGTGCCAACTCTGCCAGAATGGGGCATGCTATGAGTCTGAGGACCACCTCTTCTTTGGCCTGAGGCTATCCTTATAAAAGGTAGCTCTAATGTGCCCATGAAGGGAAGAAGCCTTTTCTTGCCCTGAAAACCTATCTCAGGGTCATAACTTGACTGGTTGCCTGCATCTGCATGCAGATAGTCAGACTAATGGGCAACCCAAAAGAGCACTCACCTGTCCATTCTTCAGGCCTACCAACAGACCTTCCCTTCCTGGCGGGCCACCAATCACCTTGATGTAGCGAATGAGAGATTCCATCTGCCACTCCCGCTCTTTCACTCCACTGAAGGACAGGCACTGCAGCCGTTTCTCCTAGAAAGCAAACCCCCCTCTGCATGGATATTCAACAGAATAAGTGTTCCCCAGCCCTCCAAAGGAGGTCTTCCTGCCTCTGAGGGGTGAAAAACACTTTATATTCAGGATCTATCTAACCTAGTCCCCATGATTGGTATCGTTAATCTTCATGAAAGTCTTCCCATGGATCCTCGCTCAGCCTCAGATCTTCTGTGCAGACCTCTAAGCAGCCAAAAGCACACCTGTTTGCCACTTCTATACTATAAACCTGTGGTACCCCTAAACTGCTTAAAGTTCTAGACTTTTAGAGATATTTTAATAATATTTTATGTCTATAGTTATTCCTAAAGGAATCCATTTTATCACTTCCAATAGGCCTAGTTTCATGAAACAAAATCCACCTCTACTTCCAAGAAAGATGCTGGGTTGGCCTTCTCTCAAAGTCTTTTCAAACTTCTCTTGGCATTGACCTAGACATTTTCTAGGAAGCTCTAAGTTGAGAAATATTTTTCTGTGGAAAAAATCTATCAGAAAGTAAAAACTCCCTTTACTGTTTTGAATTAAAATACATTGTTTTTTGTTTAACTGAAGGATATCATAAATTTTTATGTGTATATGTTTACCAAAAAAAAATCAATCTGCATTTTGTGGGATATCAATTTAGGCTTTAAGTCATTAAAATATATATAATCCCAGTATAACAAAGTACTTTGTAATACAAAAAAGTAGTAGTCTCCTGTTTATGGCCCATGACTTTCTAGTGGAGTCTGGCCATATAGATGTCAACAAAATAAAAGCAATAACCAATTCCTAATGACCAAAAACCCTGCGTTGGGTACCCTCTCCTTGGAGGAAGCATAAGGTGGATTCGGTCTGATCTGCTGCGGCTTACCTGGCAGAGGATGATGTGATCAGAGCACACCACCAGGAGGTTGCATTCAAACTTTTTGACAATCTTCTCTTTTATCCGGTAACGCATGTCTGATGAATCATCTGAATACAACTCATAGATGATGATTTTTTCTGGCAGTTGGATAGCTAATCGATTTTTGTAGATGGCAATTTTCTTGACAAGCTCTCTGCATTTAATCCGAACTGTCAAAGGAAAAAAGCCCAGTTCTAGCAAGAAGTTGTTAAGTAAGGTAGAAGGCAGAGAAATGAAAAGCTATCATTTACTTAATGCTACTGGCAATTAAAGGAGACACTCTCATCAAAAAAATCTTTAGAGTATCTAACATGTACAATCAGCTCTGCTAAACACTGGGATCCAAAGTCATATATAATCTTTGTTATCCAAAGCTTACAACTGAGTATGGAAAATGATTCTTAATGCTACCATCACTTGGTGAACATAAATCTAAACTCCTCTGCATGGCACTAATGGCCCCTGATGATCAGGAGCCCACCTGAGTGACTGCCCACAACTCTGGTCACTCTCCAAACACCACCCTTGACAACAGTAACCATGTGTAGTTTGTGGGGTACACTAAACTCTCACACTCATTATGGACCAGGTGGAGAAAATGTCTCCAGAAGGGATGCTTTGGAGCTACACCCTCACCATACTGTTGGAATCTTCAAATGGAGGTGCTCCCAGATGGGGACCAAAGGATGTCTGTCATCTGAATCTGCAAGACAACTCCCAACCAGAATCCCTACTCACAGGCATCTGGCAGTGTGCTGCTGTGTCCAGTATATCTGGATATGAATACACTTGAAACAAGTGGATTCTTAGCCTATTTAACCAGCCCACCCCCTTGGGTGGATAGAAGAAAAGACTGAGTTTAGACTGACTGCACGGGGCCTGGAACCCTGATCTGACTGAGCTTGTGGAAACCCACTGCCTCTGCTTATCTCTGGGGCAAGGACCTGACCGAAGGCAAGCTGAGATGTAGCTGAGGAAGAAGTACCCCAGAAGTGCCTCTGACCAGAGAGAATGCAGGTCCACAAAGACCCATGGAAGTCAGCCACCATGGCTCTAACTTGTTCTATATTATCCTCCCTTAGTTAGGGAGTCCATGTACCCCTGGAATTATCTGCAAAATTTTGTGAGTCTGTGTGGTATTTTTTGAGAAAGGGTTTCTTGCTTTCATTAGATTCTCAAAAACATCCACATTCTCCCCTCGTCCTGCCTCCTCACAAAAAAAAAAAAAAAAAAAAAAAAAAAAGCAAGAACCAGTGGTCCAACGTGTTTCAAAAAGACCAAGGAGAAATATTTCCTACCATTTCACTTGCCCTATCAGCAGTCCTCTCAACCTATGCCTCTCCCCAGTATCTAGAGGGCAAAGGGGCTCTACCTGCCTTTTACCTTTCTGCTCAGTGATCAGGTGCTGCACGATGACATCAGTCATGCTATCCCTGTATGCATACCGGTCCTTATAGAGCCCATGGACAGTGCTGAAAATAAGCTGGTAGAAGGAAATGGTGCCATCCTGGCAGCCTACCACCTGCAGGGAAAGAGAGGTGTCAATTCCCAGCTTTCTGTGGAGAAAGAATCTACCTTCCCATTTGTCAGAAAAAAACATCAATGATTTGACTGGCTAAGCAGGCCTGATGTTCAGTTCCTACTCAGACAATGGCCCAATAAAAATGAACTTCCTCTTCTTACCACATAGTTGGAATCGGGCTTCACTTTACAAGTCCACACCCAGGAGTTCTGCTCCCCAACAGTCCCGAGCCGCACTCCATCCTTGGTGAAAAGGGATACTTGCTTGTCTGACCCCCCCAGTAAAATGTACTCCCCTTTAGTAAAGTAGCTGATGCAGCAAGGGTCAAAATTCAGTGGCCGATCCTTCCCAATCTGAGGAAAGAGAACATACACTAAAGGAAAAAACAACTTCTGAATCCTGAAACTCAATAAATGTTAGCTATTATTACTATTATTATTATTAAGCCAGATCCCTTTAAATGTCAAAAACACTTAAGATGCCAAAAATACACAAATTACACCTAAGCCTAACACAAAAGTGTAGGTTTGATTTACTTCATCATCCCACATTTAATTCTAAATCTTCCCAGAATTAAAAGATACTTACACAAGAAAACAATTTTACTGTTCCAAACAAGTTGGGGGTTACTTTCTCAGAAGACTGAGGTTGCTTATCTGTCAAAAACTCTGGGCCACAACATGAACACAATATTTACCATGGCCCTGACTACCATATTGAGCTTTTTTTATATTTTCACTATAGTAGCAAGACCCCATTTCCACCTAGCATAGTGTGGTTAGATGTTCCAGGAAACTTCTAATACCCATCCTCAGTGCCAGATACACAGTAGATGTGCCAATAAATATTTATTAAATGATTATGGACATACATTAAGTGGATGAATACTAATAGATAGGACCAGGGAAACTGGATGCTAGATAATTAAAATGATGGTTCTGAGAAAACAGCCATAGGAAACTGAGAAAATTCTTTATTATATACAACCTTTATTTTTACTTGACTACCAAAGAAATAAGCAATGGTAAGGTGAGGCAGAAGAAATGGCTCCAAAGTTAGGCTAAACATACCTAAAACCCCCACTTCTGACATGATAAGTTTTGAGAAATAAAGATGCTGTTAAACAAAAACCTCCATTGAAATGGCTGCATTTCTCATTTGCTTGGCTGTGGTAGTAAGCCATCCCCACCACCTTCACTCTAATCCTCAATGTCTCCAGTCTCCTAACAGATTTCCTACCACTAGGCTCTCTTTATTTTAATCCACCCTCCACAGAAATAAGGAATTCTCTGAAACAAGAATCTGACCAAGTCGCTCCCTACCTAAATCTATGGCCCTGAAATACTCACAGAATACAATGTTCAAACTGTATTCACACTACAATCTTGTCTCATCTTCCTTTCTAGCACCATCTCTCCACAAATCTTGGGACCCAGTCACCCTGAACAACTCACTGTTCCCTGAGTTGTCATCTATTTTCATTCTTCCCTGCCTTTTCAGATGCTATTTTCTCTGCCCGAAACACCATTTTCAATGCCCTCTGCCTAGCAAACTCCTTCTTATCCTGTTCAAAGTCACCTCTTCAAAATCTCCCATCTCCACCGAGCAGTGATGTCACCCTCTTTTGTGTCTCTATTGCTATCTTTCTGTACAGCTCTCTATCATGCCATGTATCACTGCACTGGGACTGTTGGCCATCGAGTACGTCCCCACCAGCCTGTGAACTCTGGCAGAGCAGAGGCATTAACTTACAAAGCTCAATGTCAGTGGCTCCCAACACAGGTGAAGGGCTGGCCTAAATGGGTGCTTATAAATGCGGGTAGGATGGAGAAAGCAAATATAGAAGGCAGGGTCGTGACCAAGACCAAGGCCTTACAGTCAGACCAATCTGGGTTTTGATCCCATGTGCCACCATTTACTAGCAGTGTGAAACCTCGGGCATAGTATTTACTTCACTGCTCTGAGTCTTATCTACTCATTTCTAAAAAGTTGATAATCACAGGGTTTTATTAGACTTAAATGAGATAAAGGATGCACAGCATAGAGCACAGTGCCTGGTATCACAGCAAATAACTCAATAAATAGAAGCAAACAACAATAAGTTATAATTACTAATGATACAACCTCAGAAAGTGAAAAACTATTACAGGCATGACTGTAACTGTATCTCCCACTGGGTCTGTACAGAGCTGCATACCTGTTTTCCACTTAGTTGGTAGAAGGAAAGTTTCTGCCCCCAATCAGCTACAGCCAGGATGTCGTTACGTTCCTCTCTAATCAACAGAAGACAAAAGAGGTTATGGGGGGCCGTGGTCTGCTGATGAGTTAGCCCTAAGGGTTTAACAAACAGGAAAAAGAAAGCCTGGCCAGCCTGTCAGATTGCCAAATGTTGTACAGTCGCACTGAGGCTAAGTTATAATATGGGCCAACCCATCAATCAGCCCCATAGGATGAGGGAGGCAAGGCTCTGTTCAGCCTTCCTGGGAACTGTTATTTCACTAAATGCCCTACCATGAGCTTGTGGCACCAGGACACAGCCACAGTGAAGCTAAAACCCTCATTTCAAAGCTTCCTGTGGAGCAACAATAAGAAAGGGCAAGGCTGCAGATTCAAGAGTGCTTTATTTTAGGGG